ATAAACATTGCACGTAGACACGCTGAGTCACACGAAGTGCCCTAATTTTGCCGATCCTCATCTGGATCAAGATTTGTCGGTCGTCTACAATGTACTGCCAAGACGAAGCTGCCTTGCCCCTCGACCTTTTTAGAAGTGTTCGTATTCCGTAATAGTTTTCACCTCGCGTTTCAGATCATTCATTCAGATCAGTTGCCCAACTACGAATCGCCGGGGCGTTATCTAATCGCAATGTCTGGGTCTGGTCTGTGTCTGTGTCTGTGGCTTACAAGGTCGATTACATCCATGCATTGTTTGGACATTGGGCGCGTAGCCGCCCTGGATTTATGCCAAAGAAAATTTCAATTAGCACATGGAAAACACAATTCCAGTCAGCACACAGATTTCGGACACNAAACCTTCACTGAAAATATCCCTGTCCACTGCTTGACGATTCTGCCAGCCGGAATAGTGTACCGCGCGAAGCGCGGTTGAACAGCGCCCGCAGAGCAGCCATTTGATCGAAATCGCTGCCCTGTTGTAAGAAAAACATTTCGACAGTTGACCTATGGGTTGAGAGGCAATAAAAGCCGGGCCGGCTGTAATCGGGTGAAATTGAGCAGTTGTGGGCATTCCAGAAAGCTCGAGTAGGCATCGTAGTTGCGCGGCACAATGACAAAATGCTCGTTTTTGTTGCGTTTGGCGGCTCGGGCGCGCGTCCTTTTCGTGTAGAAAATAATTTACCCTTTTCGCTGGCTTCATGCGTCTGACTATTAATTTGGGAAGTTATCCCGAACCCATAAGGAGGGGCGCATAACGAGTCAGATACATACCTATTTTCAAGTATTAAAAAAAACGCTTGGGCTGATTGACTAGGAACTTGGCGCGCGCGTGCACTCAGTTCGACACCACGCCCAGCGTGAAACTCACATTCAGTGGTAGCCAACCGATAGTGTGGCTGAGGTGACAGCGTCGGTAGCCGTCTGCCTGCACTCTGGTCACTGCCGCCGACTTGCCGTATCCATCTCAACGCAAGCCAATGTGATGCTATCGTCAGTTTCGCCATTGATGATTATCACGATTGTTATCTGGAAAAGCTCGGCCTTCGTCGGCGTCACGCGTACCCGTGGCGTGGCGTGTGGCGAGAATTTCGTCAGAGTCTGTGTGATTTCGCGTGACACGCGAGGTTACGAACAGAGACATTATGTTTTCGTAGAAGACAACACGTCTTCAAATCAGACACAAAGATCGAAGCTTTGGATGAGTATTTTTTTGAAATCGTTTTGAGAGCGTACGTACAGCATTTTTGCAATAATTACATCGTCCGCAGGCGTGCTTGCTTTGTAGCAAAACCTTTCCGCTGTCTACCCTAGCGGTCGAGGGGGGGCCTGGATGTGCATTCTTGCATGCAGGAAGAAACTTACGCAGAAAAACTTGCCTGCCTCGCATTACCTTGACGGTTGCAACGCCCTATATATACGGCCATAATTAGCAGCCGACTCTACGGCCGTATTAACACCAACGCCTAGATATACTCAACAGGACTGGGCTACCTCGTATAGTGATTATTATGTGATTATTACACGCTCGTCATGTGTTGTATATAGTTGACACAGTTTCTTCGTACATCAATAGCAAGGCATATGATTTGCGAATGTATTAATTATATTATAAAACCAAGTTCATGCTTTCGCTGCAGGCTGCGCTCGTTATATGAAGCCGCTGATGGCTAATAAATACACAATTCATAATAAAACTTATACATCACAGTGTAGAAGTAGACCGGTGTTGACACTTTTATTGATATTTTCATGAACTTGCAACAGAGAAGAAGCTCAATGCAGCTCAGACTGTTTCATTGTGATTCCGGCGTAATTACGGTTCACACTAGCTGAACGGCTGGAATGTACGGCTATCGGCAATAATAATGGCGAGGAGCATGTTGGCTGGGGTTGGCTAGTGTTCATGTTAGATTGTGATTATTACGTCGTCGATTCTGTTTGTATATAGGTTGAACATTGACATATGTTACCCATGGATAGAGGCGTATTATTTCTGCATATATTGATTATAAAACCCAGCTTATGTGTCGCTGCAGCTGCCGCTCGTTACATGACGCCAACTGACAGCATAATAGAATTCATTCATATAAAACTTATACACACCAGGTCGATTTTCATTGAACTTGCAAAGAACAGCAGCTCAATGGGTGACATTCGTCCCAACAAATTCGCCGTAAAATTCACTTAGCGTGTCGGGTGCTTTTATACAATACAATAGTCCTACACCTCGTGCGTGGCTGTGCTAGTGTGCAAAATAGGGAACAATTAAGGGTTTGAAATTATGGGATACTATATAACAGCAATTTAGTAACCCAAAGTAAAATTGTAATATTTTGGTATGGTACCCAAATGGAAAATGGGATCTAGGTATACCGATAATGGAAATTAAATGATCCCAGATATCATAGTACAACTAATTTCGAAATCTGCACCACAATGCGCCTATGTTCAGAGAGGCAGATAGTTGACAATACACCAATCTCGACGATTTTATTTCAATGTTTTCCGCATGTTGTTGATGTTTATGTTACAATATTAAAATTATTATAGCAACATATAGTAGCCGTTTCCACATTTTTGTCTTCTGTCCCAACTGTTCTTTCTTTTACAACTTCACAATGTTTTAACATTGTTTTTCGATCTGAATTGATAAAATCACCATCTATGAGTTCGGTTAACACAGTAGGATACTTTTTGTCTAAAACTTGGGATGTAATGTGTTGCATATTCGGGTACAATAGATAGTAACACGGGCTTAGTGTTCGTACTTTGCAGCATGCTGAATATCTTGGAAAGCTCCTCGGGCGTTGGTGGAGGGATGTCAGGCCATCCTTAAAAAATCCTCTATGTTTGCTGTCCTCCGACCAACCCACGAAAATAGCCGCGACCGTGAATTAAATTATTTGTCCCAGCATTTATAAGTATCGCCTTTGCCCGTTTCACTGTCGATTCCAGTTTTATTCCAGCGCTGTCAAGAACGTCCTCCATCGTCGCTCCAGATCTCCAAAAAAGATTTAGGCCATCGGTAACATCTACACCACTACTAGAGCACCATTCGCCTAAATACTTCAGAATTGAGTCATCATCATCATCATCCTAGTTTTGATTATCCAGGCCTGAATTAAACCTCTACCGAGGGTGTGGCCTGTCTGACTTGTCTTTCTCGAAGACGCCCTGCCCTCTCCACACAGAGCGGTTATGAGGGTCCGTAGAATCCATGCCAAGCTTTGCTCGGTCATTCTTCACCACTTCATCCCATGTCTTCTTTGGTCTGCCTGCTCTCTTCTGCGCAATCACCTCAATCTTGCGTGCCCGGGCGATCCAGCCTGTGCTATGCTCCACATGCCTGAGCCACCGCAACCTATTAGAATGGAGCACCACGTCCACGTCCTGGATGCCCAGCTTCACGAGAAGGGAGTCAGAGCTGACTTCGTCTTTAGCCTTGACGTTGCAAATCCAGCGAATCATGGCGCGGTCGTTTCGCCGAAGACGGTTTAGGACTTCCGCCTTCGTGGCCCACCTCTTGGAAGCATGCAGCATCGAGCTCTTCACACACGTCGAATACACCCGACCCCGGGTGAGCAGTGGTAGATGGCAGTTGGTAAGAAGTGGTAGCAGCTGCCGGAATTTTCCCCATGCACACTTGCAGCGCGTGATAGTAGCTAGCTTGCAGCCTCTCCCTGCAGAGAGCATGTCTCCAAGGTAGCAGAATTCTGGAACCACTTCGAGTTTGTCAGCACCAATCATCACCTGCTGCATCGGTCTCCCGTCGATCGGCCGTGCAGTGCCTAGAACAAGCATGAAAAATAAAACAGACAGGGTCACAGCAGTCTCGAGAATTGCCTCACACTGTATTAGGTTTTCAAAACATGTAACATGTGACTCACACAACTGTCAGGACTATCTATCGTGATGCTGAATTTTTTTAACACCACCTCCTTGTACTCCGAACACGGGAAATACATAAACTGTCTTTATGGCTCTCAGGATCAACATATTGCAATTTTGATAACTCCAATAGCCTCAATATAACTTGTTCCAGGACAAAGTTTGGCTTCGTAGGCAACTTTTAACTTGCCTAAAAAGTTCTCAAGGGGAAAAGCAGAGAACTCATCTAAAGGACCATGATTTCTTACATCCTCTGCTAAATGGACGAGACCATGCACATTACACGTAACCATATTTGCCCCAAACAACTATAAGAAATGCTGGACAAACAGAACTAGAAGATGATGAGCGTAGTCACAGAAACTATAGCACAGCGATGGATTTGATAGCAGGTGTATTCCAACTAACAGCAATAAGAAGTTATCATATAATGTTTTAGCAATTTTACCGTTCAGAACAACTGGATCTGTATAAAGCAAGGAAAGCCTGAAATTCGGTGGCTTTCCATCCTGCAATCTCAGCAAGGGCTCTTGGTTTCCTAGCAAAGTCATTTGTTATATGCCAACACATGGCCAGAAGATATTCCGAGAGTACCATTTTCACCTTAACCCCTAAACGTCACTTCAAGGGGCCTTTTATCCTTACAACAACAGGAGCTCTTCATTACACCAAGGCAGACAAGGTGCATGTAATCAATGGGAATCTCTGGAAACCATTCCCTAACCGTAGAGACGTCCATTGGCGGTAGGGCGATTGTCTATGGTTGGGTGTTCCTCCTCTGTCATTTCAGATCTGTCGCAGTGGGCCATCTGTCTCTGGAAACAGTCATCTTACTCCATCATACACACCCAGGCTGGGCATGATTTACTCACACCTGAATAGCCAGAATGATATTTGCCCTTTAGAAAGGACGAGCAGGGCGTATCACAAAAAATAATGAATATCTCTACTACAGTTTATCCTGGCATCATAAATCTCAAGCCATTTGTCTGAGATTAACCACTTTACATTCCACAAAACTCTTGTAATATTTCCTTAGCATCATGTGCTTTGTAGTGACCGTGAGCTACTAGACCCAAATTAGTGAAAGGTTCTGGCTGCCTTGAATCAACCAACAAAACCTACTATATGCAAAACATGCTAGTGTTGTCTGCTCTTAAATAATGGTCCATCCCAATATTAATCTGAAGACGTACTGTGTTTATATTTCTGGTGTGTGACTATCATTTGAGAGCCGGTCGGAATTATTGCATCACGCAATTCAACAAAGGATAAGTATAAGCCAACAGCAACATGTATAAAGCCACATTCGTTGTTTCTGTTGTCAACTACTGTGTGACAAAACGGCTTTTTTCGCAGAGGTTGCGTAATTCTGGCCAGTTGAAAACGATGCATTCTTTACTGCTGGCTTGGGCTGAGTAGCCGGTTTCCACATTTTTGGCTTCTTCATGTCACCAACATGTTCTTTCTTTCTACAAACTTCGCATTGCTTTTGCGATCTGAATTGATAACAATCGACCATCTATGGAGTGGTTCGCCGTCAATCACAGTAGGAACTATTTTGTGTCTGACAAGACTTTCGGACGTCATGTGCTTGCATATTTGGGCGCGAGTAGCTGCGGGCTTAAGTGTTGGCGTACTGTGCAGCATGCGGAACATGCTCCTCAGGTGTGTTGCGATGGGCAGCGGAAGTCTAGTAGCTTTTTTATCCACTCTCGCGTCGCGGTGTTGTCCGCAATGGAGTTCCAGGCTAGCAGTAGATTAGTTTTTTCTCTTCTATTTTCGGCTGGATGGAGAAACTCTCGATATCTGTACACAGGCGCCATGCGAAATCTTCGCGGTATCCGCGGACAACACTCCGCGGACTTGCACAGGTCCAGGGGTCGCGCATTTTCGTGAACCGTCTAATCCGGTCTGAGAGAAAATGTTCTAGGGGGTTAGCATGTTACAAAATTTCTATGTTACAGTCCAACAGTACCTTCATTTAACTAACATTTGGTAATATAGTTTTGGTCGGTGGAGGCCTGTTACACATATAGACGACTCGGCTGTAGTGTCACTGTTTTGATTGTCAGACGGGTTCGGCCAGTGTGTGCCGGTGTGTTATGTGACGCTGGCACACGTTGTGTGGTGTATGTGGGGTCCCTGCTGGCGCTTACGCAGGGCCGTGATATAGTTACGCCGATCGATCAATCGGGTTACATCAAAGAGGCCGCCGCGCTCACGGCCCTGTGGACCTGTGAGGCTCGTTTTATAAAGTAGCTGCTGGGCCAGGGCTCTCGCGAGCTGTGTCAGTGGTAGGGAAACGTTAGAGGCAATACGTGGTTGTACGTTGGTTTCAGCCACGAAGCTCTGCCTTTATAATCCATATATACATAACATAAGAAGGTTGGTGTTGCGAGCTGCTCTTTTTTGGTGACCTTTTGAAAACCGAATTAAAGTTAATGTGCGCGATCGCGCCTTAGCTCTAGGGTCGTTTAGGAATATTATATCGTGCGCGCAAGCGAGGATTTGTTTGGGCGCAAACCTTCGGCGTAGCAAAAAAAAGCGTTTCCGTTCCTGAATGTCTCATCACTGTGGGGGCCCACAGACAAGGACAAGCGCGAGCGACAAGGCCGGCAGCGCTAAAGTTGTTCAATATGATAAATATCTACTGTAGTTGACCAGAAACAAATTTAGAAACTGCTGGACATGAATATGCTATATTTATTAAAGTTAGCCTTATGGGACCAGTGTGGAAGTGTACATTAAAATAATTTGTTTGCAGAATGTAAGTACTATTTTTGTACTTGCATTGATTTGGAAATTCTGGTGTGTATGATAATGACAGCCTGCAGATATACTCCGCGTGCAGTGTACGTAATATGCCCGGTGTTAACAATTGCTGGAGCGATTGGGGCGCGTTCTGTATCGTGTCTTGCTAATGCAATGTATATGCCTTGTAAAGTTGCTGAGGCTGAATTCAAAAGTAAACTTACCTGAAACCCCTGACCAGGGCTTCGCCCGTGGACCTGACCGGCCCCGCCCCCCTCCGCTGGCTACCCCGGCGCGGATTGTCAGCAGAAAACAACATGTCAGTTCGCAATCCCTGCGCGATGTAACTATGTTGTACCCAACTTGTGGGTACTGGAAAGGCAGAACTACCAGTATGTCTTTTCTCGCTGCGTTCAAGTTTTCGAAATTTCGCGAAGTTTGCCTGCAGCCTGGAATGGACAAACAGTTAAAGAACCGAGCATGGCGTAGCACATCAGTCTCGCGCAGAACTCGGCGCAATACAGTTACACAGTGTCCCGCGGGGTTGAGCATGCTCGCCTGCTCACCCATGGCTTCAGGCGGTTTATTATCCGTGTGTGAATGAGCCTCAACTCCATCTCGTAATAGGAGGTGGCGCACCACATCACCCAAGTGCGTGCTCCGCGGAGGGCAGGCAGGTGGATGGCTGCGTGCCTGAGCTGCCGGGGGCCATGCCTCATATTGCTAAAAGCTCGATATTCGGGGTTCAGAAAACAGGCATATCGCACCATGTCCGACCCGATCGGAGCAATCGTCCTTGCATTAGAAGACAGGCTGTATCGGCGCCCTTGGATCCCGTTTCCTCCTTGTGCGAAGACTAATGCGATGAACAACGTTCATCCTTGATATCGCTGTAATTCCACAAACGGTCTTACCAATACTCAGAATACAACAAACCACTGAACTGCCACGTATTTTCAACTCAGAACACTTCCCTTTCGAATTTGACACATCCGAACTGAGCGCACTTATCAGCATGCGCCGAACAGGCTATTTTTTAGGCCTGGGCGCGTCTACCATTTCGGATAAGTCACGACTTTATGAGGCCGTGTTAGCCGCCACGGGCCTTTACCGGGACACAAAACCAGTGCTATCGTACGCGCCTGCTCACAAGCTTCAGCACTATGGCCAGGACGCGGTTATGCCTTTGTCACTGCTTCTCTTCTTGGCCGTGTACACTGGTCTGTTATTCGACAGGATATGTCCTATAACTCGTGTTCATCAGCCAGCAAATGTCGTCGTTGCGAAGCTTCCGCGGCTGATGGTAAAGTCCTTCAGCTTCTTCGAGCTTGAGTGCGTGTTGGGCCGTGCTCCCGCTTCGGCGGCGCGTACAGAAAATAGTAGCCGGCCACAACATTTCGCTCACACCGTGCAATCTATCATATAGTACGGATATAGAGGTGATAACCTGCACGACGCTTTCTCCGATGTGAGACCCGTCTATCTGGCTCGTGCGTATAAATATATGTTCATGTTCAGCGACCCGTGGTGGACCATTGGGTAACGTGCGCGTTACGGTGTCATACATCCCACTGTAGCCACTCCTGGCGAGAGCTGAGAGTGAGCGGCCTGCCATGGCTACTCATTAGCACTCGCTGAATAGTATACATACCCTTTCATACTGCCGGAAGACAGACGGTGGGGTACGCCCAGGGGTTTATAACGAACATGCCAAACATAAGAGTCCCACTCATGGCGCGTAAGACGTGGTATTGAGCGTCATGAGCCTACACGCATTCTTCGCAGACTATTCTTGGCATACTACCTGTAGCCCCATGCAACCGCCAATCCGTTCAGGTTGCGGCACTAGCCAATCTGATCTAGATGCCGCAATATTTTGGGTTGGCAGGCTGCGGGCGGGCCTGGGCGCGCGGATGCGCAGTTGCGATAATCTCTAGTAATGTGCCTATTTGACAGGGTATTTCGCCAAAGAGAGGTCATAAACAAGACCAGTTGCCGAGGTCGGAAACAGACAACACCAGGGTGGAAGTTTTTGTCGTTTCAAGAACTACAAGGCATGATTACTCAATTGTGTTTTCTTTGTCATTCTCTTGCACGCTTACGTTGTGATGCACGATATTTCACAGCGCTTTCGATTGTAGCTAGTCATGAGGTTATTGCACTACGGCCTAAGGCCTTGTAGGCTTTCCAGACATTGTCCGATAGCCGTGAATGAACAAACATACTGACAGTTAGTGTATGGCTAAGCTCTTAAGGTGCAGACGTCAGGAAAAGTGGGAAAGGACGCATGAAGGACACCTAACGACTGGTCAGCAAGTCAGACGCCCTTGATAAAAACACCCCTCGCACGACAACCGACTGCACTGACATCATAAACAAAGAGTTAATAAACATTCGTATCCACGACAGGAGCCGACCGCACGCGCAAAACACTGGGAACACACCAGCGGTCATAAGAACACGGAGCATTCTCGATAACGCATCATCCCTCGGTGAGAGTGGGCGATCGCGATCATTGTAGCACGTGACATATCACCATGCGCAGCTTGCGCAACGAAGCCGAACGGACATAACAGGTAGGAAGGCGAAGATACCAACGGTGGCATGCGGGGTAGCGCAGGAGAGGGTATGGCCTTAGCCTATCCAATGTGTGCACCAACAGGACACGACAGGACAACACACAGACGCACGCATCGCACCAGCGCCCGGCACACGCACACAGAGTCTACCACACGGCAGCACGGACAGACCAACACGCAACGCACAGCACTACAAAGAGGAGAGTACAATCATAACA